ATGCCGTCCTGTGTCCTTTCCAGCTGGAAACATTCTCAGGAAAGTTTCACCCCACTCTCAATTACATTATGTGCATTTGCCTAAAATGGACATAAAATTTCTGTGTGCGCTATGGAAAAACCTAATGTTTTAATGATATCTCAACAATGCTGAATTGGAAACAATGGTATTTTTTTCCAAATAGAAGTTGAGTTACTTCAGGCTTTATTATATCTTTGATTCTCTTGGCTAATACCTTGAAAGAGCTAATGTAATATCCTAAGATGCTTGGCCCAACTACAGAAAATGCTTATCTTTCAGTGCACTTGTTACTTATCTAATCGATTATGTGAATAAGCTTAATGAAAAATCTTCCTGAGCGTGGTCAAATATCACAGAAGATAATGGAAAATTCTATTCCATTTTGGTTCAAAGGATTGAAGTTTTTTGCTTAAGGATTTACTATTCCCTATGGAAAAGAGTAATTTAGATACTATTTCAGAATAATGATGTAGCTAAAGTAGCTGGTTTTTTAAATTTTTAATTCCTATTTTGGAAAGTGGGTTTTATTGCATTGCAGTATGCTGGTTTTAAGGGAGGAGTATTTGTTATCATATGACACTAACACAGTACTGCTACCCTGTCCTGCTAGGCACTTTGTAGTGTGAGACAATCCATCCCATAAAGGTCTCACAGTCACGTAGGGTGACAGACAAAGGAAACTAGAAATGAAAAACAATTATTATTCCCATTTTTAGATGGAAAACTACATTTCAGAGTGTCTGCACATTGTTACTTCAATCCAGAAGCTACATTTTTCAAAGGCCTAAAACTTGCCAAACTATTTTGTATTTCCATAGAAATGGCAAAAGTCATGCTCCTGAAACAAAGATTTCTCAAAGCACAGGAGTATTAAAAAAGTCTTTGCAATTTTTCTCTGCTATCATTCTCAGAAATTACTGAGTGTTTTAGCTGACATTCTTCCCAGGACAGAAAATTTTAACCTGAACAGTTAAGGTCTGGCAGTGATAAGCATAATACTTTCTCAACCCTAGTCACAGACGGTAGTACTGGCTGTACATATAATAAATTAAAAGAACATCCTGATGTTTTTATATCAACCCTTTCACCAGTGAGTGTCTCCAAGAAAGCAGTACAATGAATCATTGTGTATGGAAAGCTGGACTCCCAAGATGAATCACAAAAGATACCTAGTCACTTTAATAAATGAAAAATTGTATAGAATTGTATCCATTTACCAAGAGCCGTACAGTCTTCTCTGAATAAGTCTATCTAGCTACAGACAAAGCAAAGCTGAGACTAAATCAATTTTTTTTTTTTTAATAAAAACATTGCCATCTGTCCATGCTCCAGTCAACCAAGCCAGCTGCTTGTTTTCTCCTGAAGAGTTGCTCTTGCCCACTGAGCAAGCCAGAGGGTGGCTTGGCAGCCCACACCTTTGTATGGACTGGGAAAGGAGTATTTTTCCCTGAATTATATTTCTAAATGTTTCTAGTCTAGACAAGGCCTAAACTGACAGGAGTGATGACAAGAGAAGTAGCGGCAGGTTGAGGAAATGTGCTTAACCCAAGGCATGTTGCTGTCTGCAGCAACCACGAGCTCCAAAGTTCCATCTGTTGCAGCAGCCCCGTGCAGATGGCTGCAAAGAAGCAGCTTGCGCCTACAAGGCTGCAAGCTAAACCTGCAGACAGGCAGCGCCCTCCTCCTCCACGCTCCCACAGCACTTTGTTCAGCCGCAAGAAGAGAGCCCCATGGCCACAGAGCAGATGGGTGGGTGCTCGGTGCAGCCCACCTGCTCCTGCTACAGCAGGCCGGGGGGAAGAGGAGGGTGTTGCACTGGGCAGAGCCACCCAGAGATATGGCTTTCTGCAGTTGGAGCATGGTGCGCCCTAGTGCCTGGGGAATGCAGGCAGGCAGGAAGGAAGGAGCATTAGAAATGAGGAGCATTAGAATTTTTGATCGTTTTCCACCTCTGAGCTGTGCATAGCATATGACACTGCCTGTCTGAATTCAAGAGGAGCTAAGTAAAAATGAGTTGCTTTTTATTGAGCTGAATTTTTGGTTTTATTTGCCTCTACTCTTACGGATGGAAGAGTCCTTAGAAGAGGCTCAGGGTGCTCAAGGCATTGCAGCCATTCTCATGCATTACTCCCTACTGCCAGGCGGCCAAGACAACGCATTGCTGGAAACAGGGCTGTAGCTATAACAGTACATTGCACCTGGTATGGAGCTGTCTGGACCATCTTTTGAGCTAGCATTTCTCAGTATGTTGCAGGCACATTTCTCTCCTTAGCCAGTTATTGGCAAAAGACCTAACAACCAAAAAAGTAAATTTATAAAGCTTTGCACCAAACATTGATCTTTTCCCCACGTCCATGAAATTAAACTGCATGATACAAACCATGACACATGTCAGTCTGTTCCTAAGCTATAGACAACTGCTAAAATATTATACTAGCTGTATATACCATGCCCTCAATAGAGACAAGGTGAAGGAAAGAGGTAGTAGGTGGGATTCTTGGACTCTGACTTTCACTGTGATGTGAAGAGTACACAAAAAATTTTGGTAAAACATCACGAACAAAAGAAAAACAGATTTTTTTTTTTTTTTCATTTTTCACAAAATAAAACAGGAGGGATCTGACCCTCAAGTGAATTGAATAGCTGAAAAACATGGGAAATATAGGTATGAAGGACCTCAAAAGACCAAGCTTATAATTGCCATTTCTTTCAGTACTTGTAGTTCAAATTAACTAAGAACAATATTAAAGATCTCTGCAAATCTGAAAAAATCAAGTAAGACTGCATAATGCTAATAAACTTTAAAATGAGGTAAGTCTTTTGAGGATTTTTCCAGTGAGCAAAAAGGCATGTGCAGAAACAACCTTAACAGAAAAACTTTCTTATTTTTATTCTCAATTTTTACTTCTTTCAAAGATTTATTATTCCTTCAAGTTGCTATTTTTAGAGCTAAGTCACCATTTCTAGCAATTTGTTAGTATAAATTCTGGCTCAGTGTTCATATTGGTCACATCATTGTATCAAGTCTAAATCAGCAGTAGGTTACTTCTTGACAACAGACAGAATATTAACCTTTCATTTTTAATAGCTGTTCTATGGCAGCATTACCACAGGTAGGGAAAAACATATGACAGACTATTTCAAATGACAGTTTTGAACCTGATTCAAGAAAATTATGGATTCAGAGCATGCATTTAGGTCCTGTTGAATTCATATGGACATGATATAACTAAATGACAACAGACTAACTGAATGTGAATCAAAGCAAAAAGATTTAAGCAATCCTTGGATTTATTTTTAGAACACCCTAATGCCTTGGAATGGACTTGGTTTCATACAGATGTTCAAAGTTAAACATGTGCACGAATCCTCAAAATAAGAATATTTTCTGGGTCTTTATGAAGAGTGGCTTTAATTCACCATCAGATTAGGTAACTAACACCTAGAAATGTTCTTAAATTATAGTCTGCTACCAGTACACATTAGCAAAAGTCAAGGGATGATTCAGTTCTTAGTGAAGGTAATGAGTGTCTGCTCTTTCCTGTTGAGGATATTGGATTAGAAGATAACTCTATGTTGTGTATGAATTATGATGCATCAATTTGCACATTGCTGCTATGACGGCTGCAGATCTCATATCACATATTTGTCACCTGCTGGGTACAACTTAATTCACAAGCAATCCACACTCTACCCTTGTTTAAAAAAAATACGTCAACATAGAGTATCGTTCTAACAACTTGTTTCACAAGTACAAGTCTTTAAAAAATAAGTGCACAATAATTAATAAGAATATAATTTTATGTGTAGTATTTTCATTTCCAAATGCTATATTTAATAAAAGATAAATCACAGCAATCTTCATGAACAAAGCACTGTGAAGCCTGCAGCTTCTCTTCACCTATAGCAGAATTTAGATGCTGCAAACACAGAACAGCAGGTCCATATAATCCATAGGTCCATGTAATGAGTTAATTTTAGGTTCCAAAATGAGCAAAGGAGAATGACTGGCATTTGGAGTCTACTTTTTTACTGTGGTTCTTACACAGATTTTTGTAAGCATTTCTTAATTTCTCCATCTACTACTCAGTAAAACCAGGATGACAAGCTCCCTTCAGCTACCGCTTTTCCATTTTGTCAGTTTAGATCACAAGTACATTCTAGTACTACAAGTCGAAAAGTAGTAAGTAATCCACATTTCATATAGAATGCCCCAGGAACAAAATTATTAAGCCATCTCATTTGAACTGATACCTCTTTCCATGACAGAAAAATTTGCAGAGGAAATGCATCTATGAGTAATTACATTCATCATGACCAAAGAAAAGCACACATGCAGAGAAGGATTAGCCTCAAAATTGTTGTAAGATGTTTTGGTGGTTTTGATATTTTCAGCATAAACAATACTGAGCTCAGGAAAACATGATTTGCCTACACTCTTTTAACCATTCTTGCTGACTTGATATTGATTTAACTTTATCCCAGAGACCCTATGAAATTCATTCAGCCACCCCCATTGATGAGATACTCAACATGTTCAAGATAGAAAGAGTTCACTACTCATCTGCATGGTGCAAGGGCATGATAGCACTACTGAAAAAGGTAAGAAAGCACAAACACCTTCTGTCCTCTCTTCTCTCCTCTTCCAGAAGCCCCTCCAACAATGCAGAGGCATCAGGCAAGCACACACATTAGGTAGTCAAAATTTCAAGGATAAGAAAGCAGTGCTTATTCCCAGACTTTTCTGAATGTTAGTGATACAGTATTCTCTCTTGAGAAGCTGGATTATTCTTAGGCTTAGACTCAGGCATTTAATGGTCTCAAAGAAATAGAAATCTAATTTTTTGTTTACTGTAAAACTGATTCACTACTGATACCAAAACTAATTCCCACTCTGTGCCCTGGCCCCATTATCTCCAGCCCTAGCTGTGGATGTGGAAAAGGGAAGGACCACTCTGCCCTCTGAATTTCTGCCACAGTTTCCAGCCAGGGAGCTTAGAAGTGGAAAGGGCTGTATTCTCCCTGTCCCATGTTGCTATAGCTGCAACAACAAAAGTCAAGCCACTTTGCTGTAAATGTCACTAAGCTACAAGCTGGGGTTCTTTCTGAATGCATCACGACGCTGGAAATCGCTTTCTTCCTTAAAATCCCAGGTTTTTGTTTGGTTTAATTTTCTGGCCATGCTGCAAGGATCATCTGTCTCTTTTATGTATTTCAGATCATCAGTACTGATATTTGAGCAGGAAATGTTTGTGAATGTGTGACTAGAGCAATAGAAGATCAATTTGCTTTGCAGCAATGAGCAATCTATTTTTGATAGATGGAGCAATGAGGTGGTTAATTTTAATTGCTGCCAGGATGCTTGAAGTAACTATATCTTCCAATAAATTAAAGACGAAATACAAATTGTTGGGTAGCATTGAACTGTGATGTTTCATGTCACTCAGACTCTTGTGTATTTGTAAACAGACTTTTGTTACTAATACATTTATACACTTCATGCCTGCAACAGACATCTGGTGGCAATTAAATTATATTAATTTCCTATGAGTTATTACTTTTATTTTTTTAGATTGAGCCTTCTAGGAGTTGTTAGAGGATTCCCTAGCCATTTTCTTACTCTAAATTGTGCATCATACAATTTATGTGTGATATGTTTACTCTTTTATATGGTATCCGGTTCCTTAGAAAATGCTTTGTGCTTGATCACAGCTCCTCACTAAGGACCCAGAGTGCCGTCTGTCAAGCCTTGCAGACATCCAAAGCTCTCCATACCTAACTGATGTCAACTGGGATGCTGTTCTAGAGAAAACTGTGACCCCAGGCTTTGTTCCTAATGTAAGTCGATATTCCAGGTGAACTGTGTTTGCAAATTCCAACTTTAATTATCACTGCTGTTTTATTTGTTTACACTTGCATATATTGCACTTCAGTGATGTACTTCTCACAGAAGCTTTACTTTGAATTCTGCTTTCATTTACTCAGTCACAGCTAAGGGAAAATTTGGCCCATTTCATTAGATCACAACAGAAGCTAATTAACCTTGGTTCACTTTTTGTTCCCTTTCAAATAAAAAACATTTTCCAGACTTTACATTTCAGCTGTTAGAGCAAATGATTGTCAGAGTTAACTTTGAGCCAAAGAATACCAAGATGACTGTTGCTGCTCTGAAATTTAGGCATCTAAATAACATTTGCAAGACTTTTTAACATCCCAATGTGCTGTTCCTTTTTCACTTAAAAAATACTGTTTCAAAAGACTGACCTATTTACTTTGTGACAGTTTCCTACACTAAAACATTCAGATTCTGTGAGGGAATCTGGTGCTTTCTTTTTTACTGTGGTTCCATTTTGTTCATAATTTCTGGATATTTCCATTTTGATCATTTGTAAGTTAAATGAATTTGAGGGTCATGGATAAAAAGCAATGACTGTGGTGTTGACTTGCTTCTCCACTTTGTTGCTTGCCCACTTTCTGGACTTGGCAGTGTTAGGTTTATGGATGGACTCAATGATCTTAAAAGTCTTTTCTAACCTAAATAATTCTATGATTCTGTGTTCAGTCATATTGCACCATAATTCTTCTCCAAACGATACATTTGTAACATACTAAGGATTGTTTGTATCTTTTTATGCAGCTGTGAATAAAGATGAGGAAGGGGGAATAGCTAGACCCTATCCTCATCCAGGGACACATTAGCATTCTTGCTAAATCTGATGGGGACAGGATCCAGCCCTGCAGAAGCTGATGGAGAGAGGGCATTGCCTAATGGAGCAAAGTCAGCTCGGTGCGTTGCCAAGACAGTGCTGGCAGTGTTTGCTGTGCTTCTTGGCATCTGACCAGAGCCTTCCCTGGAAGCAGCACCCTGCAGGAGAAGAAAGATGTAGGTGGGCAAGCAGGGGTGAAATTCCTTCCTTTCACATTTTAGCTCAATTATGGTGCAAGCTGAAAGCTCGAGAGATGAATATCATATCTACCAAACCAAGGCCAGGACTCCTTCCTTCTTACTCAACAACCCTGCAGCTGGAATAACTGTCGTGCCATGCCAGGCCTTTCCCCTGTGCTCCCCCAGGTTGCTATCCTACGCAAAACACTGCAGAACAAAGCTCCTCCCTGGCCTGGCAGACCATGAACTCCATTCTCCAAGGTAGCATGGACCTACAAGATGAATGGAGACTGCTTTTCCTCTTTTCCTTTTTTTCAAGTTAGAATTGGCCTCTGAGATATTTGGAGGTGTGGGTTGACTCTTTCTGAGACAAAAACCAACAGATTATTTAGACCTCCAACTCCTAGCTAAAAGTTTAATCCACAACTGTCAACATGTGGGAAACTCCACAACCCTGCTTTGTATTTTAAAAGAGGAATCCAGTTTCCCACATCCAAAAGTACAACATAAATGGGGATGCAGGAGAGTCCCAGACTCTGCAAAGCCCGGTTGTGCCCGGGTACATGTCTTAGGACTTAAAGTCAAGAGAGAGGACTTCAACCTGCTTCAGCAAAACTAGCTACTGAAACCTGCCTATGGCAAGTCTGTTCTCTGCTCCTGTTGCTGCCCCAGTGTTAGTCTTTCCCCAGACATCTCCTCAGTCTCCTCCTTGCTCCCACTCAAGCTTGAACTCCTGGGGCCATATCTTCCATCTTCACTCTGCTCCCAAGGATTTGACTCAAGCTAGCTTCAGTCCAGGAGCGTATAGCCAGCTAACGCAATGTCTGCCACCCTGCTAAACCTGCCTCCTAAGCAGTGAAGTACGGCAGTTTGGCTGTAGTAATGGGACCTAATAAAGGGACTGCAAGTTTTCCATATTCAGCTGGCTTACGGCCAGCCTGCCAAAAGCTAGGGCACAACGAGTGTGATGGTCTGTGTCTTGCCATAGACCAGTATCCCCAAGTCCTTAATTCACAGTTCTCATGTGGCTGTTTGCTTCTTTCCACCTGGATTTAGGGTGTTTTGAGGGTACCTTACTCCTGTGAGAGTACAGTTAAGTTTCCTGACTTCTTAAGGATGATGAAAAAAAGTAATTTTAAGTGTAATTTCAGAAACAATTGTGGAACCTATGTGTCTGGTAGTGCTCTATTTTTCAGTTTCTTCTTGTGTAGTTTGATTCCATAAACATCGTTCTTACTTAACTAGTACATGTGTTTCTTTATGGTTTAGCTAGTTTCTTTATATTCAGCTCAGAGTCATAAATTGTTAGTATTTTTTTTGTGTTGATAAATATTTGATAAAGGAAGCAAGAAATTATTTAAATGTAATTTGCTTTCATTTTTAAAGCTGCAGAATTAAAGTGATGTATTTTTCAAGTGGTCAAACAAATCTTAAAACTGTACATGCTCAAAACAGGAACTGATATTGATCAGACTTAAAGAATTATTTATTTATAAATAAATATAAGTAAGCTATAAACTTCCATTAATAAAAAACAAATAAATTTTACTAAACCTGACCAGATAGAGTGCAGGAAAAGGCATAAGACAGCTTAATATTATACTTTGAGTATGCAGACTTTTCTAGGAATAAAAACAATGGAATAATCTCTAAATCAAATGTTTCATTGTAGGACACCACAAGTTATACAAGTGGTTTCTGATGTGGTTTTACTGTTTAGTGTCTTTGGTTACTAAATAATATCTGCTATTTATATATAACTTGTCTTATTACTTCCACCTTGATGGTGACAATGGTGTGATTGAACTCCCAGAAGTCCCAGAGGAAAACAGGCTGCTTTTAAGATCTTGCACCACACAATTCCAATTGTTTGCAATTTTTTTTAATATGCTTTGAGAGAATGAGCAGAAGAAAGGAGCTCACGTTATTCTGATTACAGGAGTAGCAAAACACTGATCCAGTAATTAGGATGCCAAGCAGTGACTTTTTACAAATTTATTGGATTCAGCTGAACCATAGATTTGCTGGCCATACCCTAGCTCTTATTCCTAAATAGGAAAGGAACAGTTCATCCCAAATGTTGTCATGAGATGGCTTTACTGCACTAATGAATAGAATTAAAAAAAAAAAAAAAAAACCTCAAGGCATAACTATGCTCCTGTAAACTTTTATGCTGAAAAGATCTGAAAGAATCAAGAACCTGAAAAGAATTAAGGAAGAATCTGAAAAGAATCAAGGAAGGAAATGGCCATATACAAATGGTGTTTCCAATCATCCTGCTTAAAAAAGAACTTCCTGATACAACAAAGAATCTTAAGATTTGGTTCAAGCACCACAAATTAACACAAAAATGGAAAATCCAGAATATTTAAGTAGTGTAAGTAATGGGTAAGAAAAACTGTAATAGAACCATTTTTTGATATAAATGCTACTAATCAAAAAAAAGCCTGTTCCTTCCTTTGTTATCACGGATAGGAGCTAGGTAACTGAATCCCACAACTCTTCAGAAAATCAGATTTCAACAAGTAAGGTCTTAGAGGTGCTCCCCATTCCTCCTGCACTATTACAGTTGTTGTTTATGTTCTACAGCACTAACCAATATTCTGATGAAGACCTTGGGCGAGATTAATCTCTCTCATTGGGGAACAACTGTAGTCACTCTAGGAGTAGGAATAGGATCTAACTCTTTATAATTGCTTTAGAATATGGGGGTTTTTTTATTAACTCCCTTATTTAAACTTCAAGCACTACTCTAGGCCTAAAAAGACAGTTTTCATTTTACAGATGTGGTTGGGCAGCTCAATCATTATTAATGCTATTAACACTTGCTAGACAAACTTAAAAACACAATGATGCTTCAAAGAGTAACTTTGAATCCTTTTGTACCAGAAAGGAAGACTGAACTGTGATCCTACATTTGAACTTGAAGAAATGATTTTAGAGTCCAAACCTCTCCATAAAAAGAAAAAGCGACTTGCCAAAAACAAATCCAAAGAGGGAGCTAAGGAAACCTGCCCACTGGTAAGCTGTGGACTGTGGCTGCAGTCAGTGGCATTTCATTTATATTCTCTAATGGACAAAATCAATTAAGTTCAGTTTTATCATCTCTGAAAACAGACTTGACCTCTATTTCTGTCATTTCATGTATAGCGTAAACCATCTCCAAAGCAAGATGAAAAGTAAGCATTTATTTCAGTCAAACACTAACAGCATGTTTAAGTTGTAATAATTTTTAAGATTCTTATGGATGCTCATTTAAAGTATGAAAAAGTGTTGCCAGTTGGCAAATATGTTTCCCACACATGGACAGATAGTTATAAGGAGTATTTATCTCTACTTGTACCAAAAATGAAAAGTATGCAGTGAAAAGCTTGTTATTTACAAATGTTTTAAAGCTGTCTCTTGCAGTCTTGATTAATGTGTCTCATGTAGAAAGACCCATTGTATAAACAGTCTAAGCTTCTGAGAAGATTAAGAAATAACTGTTTTCCAGACTTGAATTTTCATTTCAGTGAGGTTTTATAAATTCTGTTGCTACTCCTAATGATTTTGAATGCTCATGCTTAGAGCCATCAGACATAAAAATCCTCAGGAACTCTTTGTGGGCAACTTCTTCCAAAAGAAAGAAGGATTGATTGTCCTATCACAGCCCACTTTTGAAGAGTCTTCAAAAAATATTTTGATAGTATTCATTCATAAGCTGTTTTGTTCAGTATCGTTTCTGTTGTTGTGATTTTTGTCTACCATTTTCCATCTTTTTTAATCAACCTATTCATCCTGTTTTTTAAAGAACATACACCTGCAGCAGTGCTTGGAAACCGTTAGGAAAGAATTCATCATATTCAACAGAGAGAAGTAAGTGCATTTCTTAATGCCTGTTTAGCATGCACTACTGAAATTAATTTGAGAATGATTTTTTTCTCTCTCAGTGTAAGGAAAAGAGATTAATGATCACAGCAACAGGGGCTAAAAGGCTGGATTTCCATTGATTTCTTCCTCTTACAGTCTCTGGTGTGATGGTTTTGTAGTTCTTCCATCTCTGAAAGCAAACAGAACTGGTTGTGGTGAAAGTATGTTAGAGAGATAAGGTAAATGTCACCAAAACTCTCCAGAGAAACTGTTAGCAACTAAGCCAAGGGAATACAATAAAAGGGGCTGCTTTTTCACAACTTGAACAAAACCAAGGGAAGTGGTAACTCATGAAATTTTGATATGAACTGCAGTGTTCTGACTTGGAAACTCTATTCATATTTCATGACCATAAACCAGGTAATTTCAACATTAGTTATTTCAACAGACCTAAATATTAAAACTGTATTCGACAGGAAGGAAGTGCTTCATAGTCTAAGCATCAGCCAGAATGTGTAGAAACACAAGTCTGAATCCCAAGGATGTCAATAATCTTTCTGATCCAATTAAGACACTGCATTTCACATAGTTTACTGTGTTTGAGTTGCAGCCACTATGGACCCATTTGTGTTACAGATATAGCTCATAACAAGGGAGATGTTTGTGTCTTTGGTCAAATTATTGCATTTCATCCAAGTATATTCAGTGGTTTTATTTGATATAATTATATCTGCAAGCCTTTCTAATGGAGTTGTGGAAGGTTAGATATTAATTAAAAAGTTGTGAATATCTTACTCGATGCTTACAATGCAGATAATTACTGTCTTCTGTAATTAAAACAGGGAAAGGAATTGTGAACTTTGCACAGTTGACATGATGTCATGAAGGAAACTATGCCATGGATAACCCCATTTTCCTTTTAAGATTTGTTGGACATGTCTGTGCCCAATACTGACTACTTACAGAAATGACAGCAAGGACGTACAAAGAAAAGGAAGGTCTGACAGATCCTTCATGTCATTTTGAATGATATCTAAGCATGAGAGAGCCATATGTTTATGTAAGAGCCATAAAGAAGAAAAGCCAGACCAAGTCAGCTCATAAAAGGTTTTCAGAAGGGTCTTGGTGTACTTCTCTGAATCAGTTCTGGTATCAGTGAACTAGGGAATGCCTGAACTTTGTAGGAGTTTTATTAACCCACAAAAAACAAAATGATTAAGATTGTAATAACAAACTCAGAAAAGATTACACTGATAAATCACTTTAATGTATTTCCAAGAAGTTGTTCATACAACTAGTTCATTTCCAGATAGGACCCTCTCACCTACTCCAGAATCATATATCAAGGAAACCTAATACACAGCAATTTTTGAAAGATAAAATAAAATACCAGATTTTGTTAAAACACTTTCAGAATCCCATTGTGTGTGTTCACTATCATTGAACAATTTCTTTTGACATGATTTTACTATGTTATTCTTAAATGGTTTTCAGCAGTGCTGCATAGGAAGGTTTTTTTCATTTTTTTTCATATTGCACAACTACAGTAACAACACAAGCTATACAGGACCTTGAGAGGCTGATGAGAGATCAAGGAGAAATTTAAATGCAGTACAAGTAAAATGGGAGCAAAAGATAAAACACATGCACTTCACTCAGAATAGCATGTGTTTCGGTTATTGCTTGATTGGCTTTGACAAGGTAAAGGAAAAATATTTAGTATAGATCTACAACAGATTCTGCATTGTCTTAAGACAGATTACAATCATTTCTTATTTAAATTGTATTAGAGCTGAAGAAGGACATGGAGAGACTTCTGTCATACTTTTCAAAGACAAAAATGTTAATAAGAGGGGAAGTAGAGGTCAAATTTTTGAAGTGCAAAGTGAATTCATGTTAATGGGACCAAAATAAGAGCAATGACAGACACAGATGTCATCATATCGGAGAGAAGAGGCTACACAGTATATGCCAGAATAATTAATGGTGGGTTTCCTTAGACCTTTCTATGCCCTCAAGGGTGTATGTACAGTCTGAAGCTGTATTTACATAGATTTCCAAAGCCACATGGCCAATGATGTTCTTAGGAACAACTGCAGATGCTGAAAGACATGAACTGTTCCTATGATCATAGCATTGGGTGAGGTGTCAATCCCAAGCCGGACTTTAAAGCAGTCTCAGATTAATACAGCCAGATGTTTTGATATTCCTCTGTGTTCCTCTGCATAGAGCAGAATTGCTTATGTAGTCTAGCTGGTTGAAAAAATCTGAATACTTCTTTAGATATTCATTACATTCATTGTGATTTAAGCCTTCTGCTCAGTTTACTTCAGTGGCACAGAACAATACATAAATCCTAAGAAAGTGTGAATCAAAAATAAAAAAATTTAGCCCATCTTTCATGAGAAAAGAATCCCCAAACTAAAAGGATTCTAGGCAAAATTACAGATATTTCTTATTGAGCAACAGAAAGTCACACAGTAATGTGTAGTTAGAGTGATATGTTAACCATCCCAGTTCCACAACATCTTGCAATCCAATACTTGTAAAATATCTGCTATGAAAAGCAAAATCTGTTTTTATTGAATGTCTTGCTGATACTTTCAGGCTGTGTCTCTTTTTCACTGTATATCTTTCGTCCTGCAACAGATACTGCAAATCTCAAAATAAGCCATATTTTTTTTTCTTTCCAAGAAGCTCAGGAGACTAGCAGAAACTTTTAGACTGCAGTTAAGGGCAAGGCAGTGGGGGGAGGAAGGGGCGGGGAGGGGTAGAGAAAAGGCTTACTAGGCTGAAAGGAATTAAAAAACAGTTCATGAGACTGAATGAAGTAACTTAAGAGAGTAAGTTAATGCTGGCAAAGACAGAATGTTCACATTTTCACTTTTCTGTTGCTTTCTGCAGTTAAGTAATTGGAAACTGTTATTTATAAGAATGTTTTAAGAAAGACGAGTGCATGAGGAAGATGGAGTCAATTTTAGCCAAGCCAAGCTTTCAAATGAGTAGGCTCAGTTAAAAAGGCTGATGTTTTCCCAAATGGCTTTACCAGCAGCATTCAGGCAACATACTTTCTTGATAAGTCTTACACTGTCCTTGGATGTAATTTATTTGGTTGGACTATAGTTTAACTATGTAGCTGATATATATGGTTTGAACAGTTATGAGATAGGATGAAAGATTGGAATAACTAAAAAGAAGTAGGTTATTGTATACAGTCAGAGAGCACAAACATACACTGCAGAATGCAGATGACACCAAGATGGGTGGGAGTGTCAATCAGGTTGAAAGAAAGGCTCTACAGAGTGATCTGGACTGGCTGGATCAATGGGCTGAGGCCAATTGTATATGGTTCAACAAGGCCAAGTGCTGGGTCCTGCTCTTGGCTCACAGCCACCCCATGCAACGCTACAGGCTTGGGGAAGAGTGGCTGGAAAGCTGCCTGGCAGAAAAGAACCTGGGGGTGTTGGTCAACAGACGGCTAAATATAAGCCAGCAGTGTGCCCAGGGGACCAAGAAAGCCAACAGCACCCTGGCTTGTATCAGAAACAGTGTGGCCAGCAGGAGCAAGGAAGCGATTGTCCCCCTGTACTGGTGAGGCCACACCTCGAATACTGTGTTCCATTTTGGGCCCCTCAGCACAGGAAGGACATTGAGGTGCTGGAATGTGTCCAGAGAAGGGCAACGAAGCTGGTGAAGGGCCTGGAGCACAGGTCTTACGAGGAGCGGCTGAGGGAACTGGGGTTGTTTAGCCTGGAGAAGAGGAGGCTGAGGGGAGACCTTATCGCTCTCTACAACTATCTGTAGCAAAGTGGGTGTCGGTCTCTTTTCCCAAGTAACAAGCAATAGGACAAGAGGCAATGGCCTCATGTTGCGTCAGGGGAGGTTTAGATTGGATATTAGGAAACAAAAGGGTTGTCAAGCCCTGGAACAGGCTGCCCAGGGAAGTGGTTGAGTCACCATCTCTGGAGGTATTTAAAAGACGTGTGGCTGTGGTGCTAGGATCATGGTTTAGTGGTGGACTTGGCAGTATTAGGTTAATGGTTGGACTTGATGATCTTAAGGGTCTTTTCCAACCTAAATGATTCTATGATTCTATGACAGAGCAAATGTGTTTTGTTAAAACAACAATTAGAAAAGGAGGATTTGGAGTAGTGATATTAGCTGTTTTCTTTATATATTGGATTTAACTGTATAGGGCTTCCTGGACAAAGAAATGTATAGTCAATGATTATCAGCAGTGGGTAACAACAGTTAGATTTGTGTATCTTTACTTACACACTCCTGATCACACAGCATCTTCTGTTGATACTATTCAGCATTCACTGGGGAGATGAGGAGGAATGGAGGGAACACCAACTATTGCCAGTTTCTCTGTAGAAAAAGGCAGAAAACAACCGTATCAAATAAAAGAAGTTTGCAGAACATGAAACAAAACCGTCGTCCATTTTCCTAAGATTTGTATTAATGCAAAAGACTGTTCTGTGTACTAAAAATGGCAGTTATAGAAGAGAAGTCCAGGTGTAGTTCTGTGCTTCAGTTTAGCTAGGCATGTTCTCATTACTGTTAATCCTATAAAACAACCAGGGAAATCTGTGGAATCTGAAGGGAATACTGCTTTCATGTCTGCCAAATGGACACTGAATGTTCCGAAGTCTTTCTGTGATCTGAGTCAACAGTCATTCCTATGATACACCATTTCTTCTAATAAAAGGAAAACTGAATTTGAGCCATGTTCATCCTCCACACCCAATGTAATTTCTCCTTGGGACACTTATATACAACTCCAAATAATAGAACAGCAGACCAGGAGCAGCTTTAGGGGTGTGCAACATTCATAGATTGAAAATACTTTCTACTCTATGTAAAATGGCTAAGCTGTTCTGAAGAGGCAGCTTGATACCATCATCTTCATTTGTGTAGGAAAACATGAAGCATCCAGAATGAAGACCCTTACACTGTAAGTAGATTTTATCCTGATTTTATTTTTTCCAGTGCTTCAGATACCAGAGA